ATGTACAAGAATTCCTTTGGAAACTTCCTTTATCTCTAAAGCCTCCAAGACACGTGTTGGCAATCATCCCCCAAGCATATGGCCCACCGATATACATCTGAAGGGTCTCGTGACTAAGGTTTTATTAGACGGTAATACATGAACTTTTCCCAACAATAGCTAGCCCCCTCAAGGTCCTGGAATTCCAAAATTCCTTAGAGAGTTATGCTATCCCTAACCCCCTCCCAACTTGAAAGTATATAATGGGCCGCTCCTCATGACCCCATTGCAGCTCTTTCTGCCCATGGGTCCTGTCCCCGTGCTTTAATAAAACCACCTTTTTGCACCAAAGATGTCTCAAGAATTCTTTCTTGCCGTCGGCTTCGAACCCTAATAACGTCTTTCCTACATCACCAACATACAATCTGGCTTAATTCTTATTCAGAGCGGCTGATATTAGGGCCCCCTGGCTGGTTCTGCCCAAGGTTACTTAGCTACTAAGAGGTGGAGCCAGGATTTGAACGGGGTGGTATGACTCATAGGCGCCCCCTTAGTGACTATGAAGTCCTGTGCTGGTTGGCATTACATCAGTTAACCATATCCATTGCAGGGATCAGGGAACCAAGGAGCAGAGGGTTATGTACCTCCCCCAATATGAAACTGAGAGGCAGAGTTGGGATCCCAACCACCAGTCCTGTTCCAAAGGTAGAATTCTTTTGACAAGGCTATGCTGACCTAGTATTTTGTGTTCACTCTTTCATGCAAGGCTAAATTTTAGGTCACAGCCAATTAAATTTTGAAAAATCACCCACTTGAAGATCTTGAAGATGATAGTGATAAAAATGCTGTTAGAAAGCCAACAATCGGGGTGCCTGGGTGGCTCAGTCGGTTAAGCTTTGGACTCTTGATCTCAGCTCAGGTCTTGATCTCAGGTTCATGAGTTCAAGCCCCATGTTGGGCTCCACCCTGGGCTCCACGCTGGGCGAGGATCCTACTTTAAAAAAAAAAAAAGAAAGAAAGAAAGAAAACCAGCAATCTACCAATCTTCACATTGATGAATAGTGTGGCCTTAGAATTTATCATCCAAATATGGACACTTTGCAGAGTGAAAGGAGGCTATTAATATTGATACTGGGGCATTAGGTGTCAGCCAAAACCTTTCAGGCTCACCAGGGCTTGTGGTCACTCTGTATACACAGCATGTTATTTAGTGCCCACACATATGTATTATTATTTGTAAATTCCGTTACTCTTTGGAGTACAAGCCTCTAAAGTGCGGAAATAGTTCTACTAAGTTTTAATCATACATTGTTTCGTAAACACTGACAACCATAATAGCAACTATTTGGCTAAATCCAATTCTAAAACATAAGCATTTGTAGTCATTCTTAAAGGAGTGCTCCAATGGTTTAGCAATGATTTAAATGCATTTATATATAACACATGAAAGCCAGAAACAAAAACCAAAATAAAACGTAAAATCT